GTAACTTCTTTATGATTTTTGAAGCGGATACTGTATTACCTAAGGTTTAGGTCTGCGAATGATTTCCAATCGAAATGCTTGCATTCTTTCACTTCCAAGATATCGACCTACCAGGTAGATATGTTTGTCATTGATTGACTTTTATCGAGATGAAAGAATGTAACATCGACGTGTATGCCATAGATTGTCACTGAAGAGATTCTGCCCGATGGCTGAGTGTTCTGGGCTGAGTTAACTGAGTTAATTATGTTAGAAACTGGACGCCACTTTCTACTTTATTTCGATTCTTCTCTATTACTCTGGGTGGGTGGTGATTCAATCAATGTTCTGATCGAATCGTAGCTAACTCAGGCGACCAAGTGGAGCATTTAGAAGTAGTTGCTTAGATGCTCAGATAACCTGTATTATCCAATATTTCCTTTCAATTCGTGGTGTGACAACCATCATCCATGGGTGATCCGGTTCATCTGCCTGTTCGGTCGTTGGATGAAAATCATCGACATGTTCACTGCAGTTGAGCATGGGTTTATTGGTATCGCAAAATAGCTGCACTACAGCCTTCCCAAGTGTTCAACATATACAGACAACCCTTTTGGATCCGATGAAGGTTTATTACCTTGCGACTAAGCCGACCGATCGTAGACCGTGAAACACGTCGAATCCAAAACTCATTGAATTTAGAAATTTTGGTAGAGTTGATTCAAACATATTGCAGTAAACACAAAAAGTATGAGACGATATAAATCAACTTACAAAAGATTTAGAAGGCAAGGGATAGTACAAACAAATAAGGTTTACCAGATGATAATGGGAAAATCCGCACAAAGAAAGGCGATTCCGAAAAAAGCACTCTAGGGACAGTAAAAATGGAATATCTACTTCATGGGAAGGTTCTTAAGCGATTTGATCTTTCGCCAAGATAAAAAAGTTAAAAGACAATATTCATAGTAAGTAAATCTACTATCACCGCCGCCCTGTCTGTGTGCTTATACGGTAAGAAGTTGGTCATTCATCCTAACATCGGGTACTTTTGCTCCAACTGATTAGATTTGATATTTAGCCAATGATGCGTTTGTTCTTCAGATATAGCCGAAATTTATTCCAAAGGCTTTTCTCCACCGATGGATCCGAAGAGAGTCTTCTAAAAGCGATAGTCGGGAAGCGCCAATCCAAGCTAGTAAGTCGGCTTTTTCATAGTAACGTGTTCAGTGTTTGTCGCAACCAATTAAGTCACTATAAGTGGCATTTTTTGCAGTCTTTAACCTAAAGATTGTCTGCCAGTCATTGCATGCAAACATATATAGATACATACTTACATATATAAATTCATACATATATTTGTCTGTATATATGTATACATACATAAAGCTCTCTAAACCTCTCGGTGTTGATCAATCCTTGAGGGATGTGCAATGCATTCGATTTCACTATTGTTAGAGGTGATTTAATACATATGTGGCCTTTACAATTACTCTTTGTGGTCTACCGATGTATCGAGTCAGTGTTGCTATCCTCCCAGACAAGTCTGGTACCAATCTACCGACCCCGGAGGGATGGAGGGCTTGGTGGGCTATGGGCGCGGATCGATTCCACGTGTGTGTCGCAGTGGAGCCTCTCAACCACTGCGCCACACGCTTACTCGCAAAATTGATATCCAACACCATTTCACATTCACATACATACAGTCATACCATACGTAATTTAGAAAAACACTTCTTGCACTCGCTTGTGCCGTCCCACTTTCTTTATATGCCGACAGATCTAGAATCGTCAACTGTCATAATAGGTTGTAGTAGCCGACGGAACGTCTATGTATTTGTGTGGTAGCTCTTAGAGAACACGGCTCACTGATGGTATAGCTAGGTGTAATTCCGTGAAACAGAGATAAATAATCACATATCCTGAAGTCATTACCTGGACCTTTCTTGGCATTCTCGCAGAAGACCTCGCGCGGCTTGGCTTCCAGGTTGTGATTAAGTGGAAGGGTGTACCTAAGCCAGGATGACAAATTTCGTATGTTTCTGAACTATAGTGAAAATAATCTGACATGCCATTTGCTCGTTTTCCTGATACATGGAGAGTAGAATCCCATCTGATCGCGTGCATACGCATAGAATTCCTACTAGGAAGTATTACTGAAGAAATTTAAAGTAAATCCTGAGGAAGAGAAACTACTTGCATTGCTAATCGTGCAGAGAGATATTCACCGAAGCTAGGGTTTCGACCAGAAGTTTCCGATGCACTGGAAAACCTCTAGAATTTCCTTTACGTGGTGGCATTCGAGCGTGTCGTACACATGAGGGTGGAAGAGATGTACAGCACAAAGAGTACAGAGGATGGACCTAACGGCATTTAACTAAGGGAAAAATATGTAGCACAGCTCATCCAGTTATACAGCTTATGAACTTACAAGTACCCGACGTAGACAGCTTAACCATAATCACTTGACGGAATTAGGGCGAGTAGTCTTCAAGCGTTGACATGTTGACCTCAGAAACAAAACGAAGAGACCTCCTACAAGCGTGTACCAACCTCAATATTTCCTTCAACTCTTGTGCTCTCGGCGTTGATTAATCCCGGAGGGATGCGCCATGAATTCGATTTCATTAAGTGTCATGGGAGGTGACTGAATGCACATCTGGCCTTTACAATGACTCGCGGTGGCCTATCGATGTATCGAGCCAGTGCTGCTATCCTCCCAGACAACTCTGGTACCAATTTCCCGACCCCAGAGGGATGGAAGGCTTGGTGGGCCATGGGTGCGGGGATCGACTCCGCATGTGTATCGCAGTGGTATCTCCAACCACTGAGCAACACGCGCCGCTGATAAAAGATGTAATCAGTGAATAGAAAGCTATACATTGTGATTTCGACTGCAGCCTCAACTTCATCGGATTTAATGCCGGTCTGTGCTCCTCAGACCATTCCCATTGACGGGTGCATGCTGATAGAACCGATGGGGTAAAAAAATGGCTGAGAAAAACGCAAAGCAAGGGCCTCATTGGAGTAGTGAGTAATACGCGAGTTCTTGGGAAATGTGATCACGGGTTCGAATCTGGCCTGAATTTTGAGTTTTGCAAACTGTTTTTCAGCTTTTTTCCAACTTTTTATTTTTTCAAGTTTTAAAAAAAGTTTCAAACTTTTGTAAACTATCATCATTAGGGTTATAATAAGATTAGTTTATCTAACAAATCGCTATTCTCGACTTAGCCTTATGGTTTAAACGTACCAAAAAATGCAATGAGATAACTATTTGTTTGCCACAGTTAAAATCTGGGGAGCACTTTCCGAATTCAACTGATTGAATCAAATCGAATTCATTTATTTTTAGAACTAAATAATCGGCATATTTGTCATGGAACTTACTTGGATACTGGAACCGCTTGCCGTCATGAGTTTGTAAGGACCTCAGGACACCTTCCATTTGTGTTTTGCCCCGCAGCTGTCGCCCATAGTGGCAGTTTGATTCGAGCATGGCGGCGGGTTGGAGTGTCATGCCGTTACCTGTAGAACAACTGCACCTGCGAGTACACTCGGTTGATTCTGGATACAAATACGTCTGCCAACAGTGTAAGTGGACGTCGTAGGGCACGCCTACATCCTTGTGGAGTGCATTCTACATTTCCTTTCGTCGATCTGTTATCTGTTTTTCTCCTTACGGGATTGGTCTATCTGTGTTTCGCTATCTATGCATATTTTCCTGGATCTCGAAGATGGGACAAATTTCGAAGATCAGAGTTTGCATGAAGTGTTGAGATATTTGCAAAACTCCGGACCACAGGTGTATGCAGTGGGGAACGAACACGCGCTGTTGTCCTTACCGGGGAGCAGCGCACTTATTAGCGCGGTGACCCGGATGGTGTAGTGGTGAAGTGCGCTGCTCCCCGGTAAGGACAACAGCGCGCGTTCGTTCCCCACTGCATACACCTGTGGTACGGAGTTTTGCAAATATCTCAGCACTTCATGCGAGTTATATTTCACAACATACCCTGCCATTAAGAAGAAAAAGGCAGTAAATAAAAGAGTTAAGATCAGAGTTTGCATTCTGGCTAAATATTGAGAGTGCCGTTTATATTTCAGAATACATCGTCCAAATACTCTATAGCAACTACTACCAGAATAGTTACTATTTCTTTCTATTACTGTATGTTTCTGTAGTAATGGCCGTATCCATCGTTTCCCAAATGCCTGGCAAATTTCGTAGTACGTAGATATTTTCATCTCATCATAAGGAACTTTGACCGCTATAAACAGTCTTGTTATGCAAAACTATTTGTGCAATCGGAGCTTGTTGTTTGTCACTACTGCCCAAATGCCATCCTGCGTAGAGTAACACGAAGAGCGTGAGAATGTTTACCAGAGCAGTCCTCTGCCAGCTGATCTCTGGTTTTGAGGAGATTTGGAAACGGTAGCCGACGAATGTCTTCGGTAAAGATGCTGTGCCTGTGCCAAATATCGCCTTCTCGAGAAGCATGTAAACAGCCTCGTGAATTGTCATCCTAGTTCGTCCCCTATCCTGGTTCATCTCTTTTGATTTGTTGTGCCACCTATGTAGATTATCCTAGTTGTTAACTCATATTGCACGTGGTCATTATTGTATGTTAACTTCATTTCATCATTATTAAATGGTGGTTATTGCATTTGCTAGTGGAAAACAGGCCTTCAAGTCAGTCCTCGGCACCGAATAGTCACTAGCTTTAAACAGAATGCTCGACTTCGTAGTAAGACGCCACGCGGGAGCTTTCGTAGTTGTCACAGAGCAATACCTCAAACGTGGATAATTAAACGTCTATATACATGAATGCAACATCAATACAACAGAAACAACTGTAGAAAAATACAAGCATAAGAAAAACACAGGTTCAAGACTATGAGGCGCTAATAACTACTAATGACGTGAGGCTAATAAGGACACAAGAGTATTAGGATACTATTACAACATCAATACAATATTGATAGCAACCTGATAACAGTGACGAGTAAGCGGATGCGGATGATGGATGATAGCGCCCACGCTTGCGCGTACAGTGGCCCAAGACGCCGAGAGCTTGAAGGACCAAGAGCGATGCGGACATGCCGTGCGTTAGGCTAGGCTAGAGATCATATCTACAGCGGCTGGGTGCACTTCCACACTGATTGATGAGGACAAGAAATTACCTAAGCATCGATGGTGCAAGTGACTACGAACAAGATGAGTCATGTGCAGAACACGACCAGGCGGCTGGTCTGGGCAACGATATGCTTGCAGCGTGAGGTTTGAGCATCGATGGGTTCCACCATTGCCTAAAAGATAACTTGGGCTTTAAATAGAGCGACTGAGAACTGATCAACCGACTATAGCGCATAACAGATACGCGGCGTAAGTTGACCGGTTGCCGGCTTTGTACGCATGGCGTACATTGTGGGAGGAATGGTACATGCCACCGACGGCGTTACAGGCAGAACGCATGAGATCGGTTGGCAGAAGACGACTCTGGCAAACATCCTCACTCCCTTCGTGTTATTGTACACATGATACCTTTTGGCCAGTAATAACATACGGCAAACTCCGATTGCACAAATAGGTTTGCATAGTTTATCGGTAGCTTTTCTGAGAGGCCTGAATGCGATCCACCATGCTGCTCTTCTTCTTCTGTATCCTCCTTCGTATTCTTCTCCATGTTCATTGAACGTCCAAGGTACACGTACAAGATGGTTTTTATAATCAGAGAACTATCCACTTCGATTTGTTTGCCTTTACATCGTTTACTGTTCGTGAATTAGGTCTTCTTCTGATTTATGTGTAGTCCGGTCTTTTCTACCGCTTCACTGTGCTCGTTGATCGTCGTTTGCACTTCGATGGTACTTCTTGAGAGGATGACAATGTCCTTTGGGAAGCGAAGATTTGATAGGGATTCTCCATCAATACGTATGCCTTTCTTATCCCTAGTGACTTCACTATTTACTACAATGCGTTAGTAAACAGTTTTGGCTGCACTGTATCGACTTCTCGAAACACTTTTCATGTGAGTATGATAAGAGAGATAGGAGCGCTAAATTTTCGTGGTGCACTACCACTAACAATGGAATAGAGTTCTTATGTAAGACAAGTTTACCGCTAGATCGACGTTAGGAAAAGGGGCAAGTGGTACTCCGACAAACTTCTATAACCATTATGACACTATCTTAACCTTTTTATTTACTGCCTATTCTTTTTAAAGGCAGGGTATTTTGCGAAATATAACTACTGTAATGCTGAGATACTTGAAAAACTCCGGACCGCAGGTGTCTGCGGTGGGGAACGAACGCGCTGTTGTCCTTTACGGGGAGTAACGCGTTCACCACCACACCATGCAGGTTCTTCGTTTCGCCTGTTTCTCAGCTAGTTCTATGGATCTTTGCCACAGCATTCACCCGTCTTCGAGAATGATCTGCAGAGTCCAAATTGGTATTGAACCCAATCAAGCTGAGGCTATAGTTATAATCACAATCTTAACCTTTTTATTTACTGCCTATTCTTTTTAACGGCAGGGTATTTTGCGAAATATAGCTACTATAATGCTGAGATATTTGCAAAACTCCGGACCGCAGGTGTCTGCGGTGGGGAACGAACGCGCTGTTGTCCTTTACGGGGAGTAACGCGTTCACCACCACACCATGCAGGTTCTTCGTTTCGCCTGTTTCTCAGCTAGTTCTATGGATCCTTGCCACAGCATTCACCCGTCTTCGAGAATGATCTGCGGAGTCCAAATTGGTATTGAACCCAATCAAGCTGAGGCTATAGTTATAATCACAATCTTAACCTTTTTATTTACTGCCTATTCTTTTTAACGGCAGGGTATTTTGCGAAATATAGCTACTATAATGCTGAGATATTTGCAAAACTCCAGACCGCAGGTGTCTGCGGTGGGGAACAAACGCTGACAGGTGATTGCTGATGGCAAAAGATCGATATAACCAGCTGAGAAACCAGCGAAACGAAGGACCGGCATGGTGTGGTGGTGACGTTACTCCCCGGAAAGGACAATAGCGCGTTCGTTCTTCACCGCAGACACCTGCGGTCCGGAGTTTTGCAAATATCTCAGCATTATAGTCATTATGACACGGTTTGGATATTGTCCATGGAGCAAAATCTCTGTTGAAATCTGCTTGCTGAACTGGCTTTGCGTCATCCAATGTCTTTAGTTTGCGTGACAGAATAATTTTCATGAAGAGGTTGTGGAATGTAGTTCACGATCATATAGGACGACAGCTATGACGATTGCTTTGTTCACCCTTTTTGGACAGAATGACCGTGCGCTACGTCTTCCATTTGTCTGGGATTAATGCGCCTTTTTAATGCTTGGAGGTATATTGAACCATCAGGAAAAAGTTTGATGTGAGACTTCAAGAAGGACATCTCTTTGAGTTCCATTAGATGCAGGAGTGCTTCGGCACTCTGTACTTTTCATTTGTTTAAGAATGCGGCACCGGTGTTTTCCGAAAAATGGAAACGATATGCAGGGTTTTCCAATGCATACGAGAATGGAAAGAATTGCCCTGTTCAAGGTGTCAAAAAGGTTCGCACCAGATGCAGCCTCTGTAGACGATATTATTGCCTAGAATATTATGATAGACGTCATAGAATATGTCCAACACAACATAAAACATCACTGGTATGGAATTCTACCTGAATATGAATGTGTCGTTTTCTTGTTCAGCAACCGCGATGTTTTTAAACAGCATACATTTACTTCCATAAAAACACAATACAATACAACGCTAGCTGACGTTTCGGCAGTATCGCCTTCTTCAGAGCCGCTTTTTCGTGACTTCCAATGAGGAAGTTTAGAACAGCTGATTATAGTCGCATGTGGTTGACGAGTCGATNCGATATTATTGCCTAGAATATTATGATAGACGTCATAGAATATGTCCAACACAACATAAAACATCACTGGTATGGAATTCTACCTGAATATGAATGTGTCGTTTTCTTGTTCAGCAACCGCGATGTTTTTAAACAGCATACATTTACTTCCATAAAAACACAATACAATACAACGCTAGCTGACGTTTCGGCAGTATCGCCTTCTTCAGAGCCGCTTTTTCGTGACTTCCAATGAGGAAGTTTAGAACAGCTGATTATAGTCGCATGTGGTTGACGAGTCGATTAATCAGCTGTTCTAAACTTCCTCATTGGAAGTCACGAAAAAGCGGCTCTGAAGAAGGCGATACTGCCGAAACGTCAGCTAGCGTTGTATTGTATTGTGTTTTTATGGAAGTAAATGTATGCTGTTTAAAAACCTCGCGATTGTTGAACAAGAAAATGACACATTCATATTCCAATGCCGAGGTTAAGAGAAAGTCGATCCTGGGAACTATTACAAGATCTACCTGAATACTTCTTATTTTAGGTAGGAATTGACAGTTTCATATCGAATTGTTGACTATAGATAAGAAACAGTAGTTATATGGAAGATTATTTATTGCACACAAGAATTGCGAGTTTTATGTGGGGGGTTCGGATTGTTAATAATTAAAATAAAAGGGATAAAGCTCTCTGCGTTGATCTATCCCTGAGGGATGTGCCATGCATTCAACTTCATTAAGTGTCGTTTGCATTTGATTGAATGCTTATTTCGCCTTTACGGTGGCCTACAGATGTATCGAGCCAGTGCCGCTATTTTCCCAGACAGGTCTGCTACCAATTTGCCGACTCCGGAGGATGGAAGGCTTGGTGGGCCATAGGCACCGCAGTCGATCCCATGAGCATTGCAGGGAGCCACAAACGCCCCTCATAAGTAATTACATGTAACTACTTGTTCGATGTGTAACATATGAACTGTAAATTAAAGGCTGTAGGATAAATGCGAAATAAAAAAATAATGCTTGTAACTTGTTTCGGGAAGCAGACTGTGGTGAATCGTATTGACGAGCGCATACCTTGTGAACAACGTGGTTCTTTGAATAAATCTCCTCAGTGATATATGACTTGATCCTAGTAAAGAGTCTATCCAAAACGTCGAACATCGAAACAACAGAGACGTCCCCGTTCCCAATGGAAAGACAACAATCTCTGTGATGGCGTACTCATTTAAACACCAACTCTCCCTCGCTTCGCAACGAACTGGTCTAAAATTTTTTTTCCAAACCGTTAAATAAGGAGTAGGTTTTCACGGAGTAGTGCGAACTGCTGAAGAGGTGTGCATAATATTCAATGCACTTGATCTGATATGTGTTATGACGTGCTCATTTATAGCTATCGCCTTACCTCATCATTTATCTCATTTCTACAACCGACCTATAGCTTCCGTTTCATCTGTGGTTGTTTTTCAGGTGAAAACACTTGATTCTATCGCCACTTTGAAGCGCTTCTTCAACTCTCCAGTCTGTGAGCGTGGACAGTTGCCAATGGATATTGCGAAATCTTTGTCCTCAGAGAACTTCAGAGAGCTGCTCCCCGAAATAGACACTTTCATTTTTGACGCCGATGGTGTGTATGGAACCCTTTTGCTAAAAACTCCGAAAGAGCGCTCAAATGTAGACCTCAGCGCACTGGGTAAATTTAGGAGTGTTATGGCTCAGAGACGAAGTGATTCCTGGATCTCGGCTATTGATCGACTTCCTAATTAAAAACAATAAGCAGATCATCGTCCTTACGAATAACGCTACGAAATCACGCGCAATGTACGCAAAGAAATTTCTTAGGTTCGGATTTAACCATAACTTGAATGAGGTAAAACATATTTTTCTTTTTAAGGGATCTTTTTTACAAAGTGGATCTTGATTTCAGGATTCGGTAGTGAGTCCTGCAGCTATCGTTGCTGACGCATTATACAAAGCAGGTATAGCTGGTAATAAGAAGGTGTATTTGATAGGATCTCAAGGCATACGGGATGAAATGGATGAGCTTGGTAAGTAGTCTTTTATCTGATATCTTGCAGCATTGGTTACGAAACTTTATCATTGCGGAATTGATAGCGGAATTTTCTAGGCATAGAATATTTCGGCCATGGACCGGAACTTCAAGACGGTGATGATACCACGTTCTTACTTGACATTGACCTCGAAGTTGATGTTAGAGATGTTTTTGCTTTTAAAGTCACATAGATACGAACGGACATCGTTCTTGCACCAGTCTAATAAATATTGTCCAATGTCTGTTCACTCCTTTTAGCCAACTGAGGTTGGCGCGGTCGTTGTTGGTTATGACAAGCACTTCAACTATCATAAACTTATGAAGGCGGCCAATTATCTTCAGCAACCTCATTGCCTCTTCTTAGCCACAAATGAAGATGAAACATGTCCAGGTTCCAATCCACACACTGTGATTCCGGATGCTGGTGTGTGCTTGCCTCATTGATTTCTAATCCATTATCCGAAAAATAGCACCGATAACCAGTCAGCTTTAAGGTCCACTAGTAGCAGCGGTTCGATGTGCATCTGGTCGAGAGCCAACCGTTATGGGAAAGCCGTATACGCCAGCGTATGACTACATCAAAAGGCAATGGAACATCGATCCTGAGCGAACGATGATCATTGGCGATAGGTAAGCGGCTTTTCAGCGTCCATAGGGGTATGTCCCTGACAAATGAAAGCAGTCGTTGTGTTCTTAAGGACGAACACTGATGTGAAATTTGGTCGTGACCATGGATTAAAGACGATGCTTGTGCTATCTGGATGCCATCAGTTAGAGAATATCATGGCGAATCGTCTAAACGAGCGCTTTGACATGGTGCCCAGCTACTATGCAACATCTTTAGGAGCCCTAGTGGTGAATAGATGCAAAACCTGATTTAAACGCTGAAATTTGCAATGTATAGATTTGTGCATATTAAACAGACGTTTGGTGTGTTCTGAATTGCTCACTGTGGCGTTGTTGTACAAATGATGCCTAAGCTGAATGTTCTTGATTCTTTATGGTTTTTGACATTCTTCCATGAAATACGTGTATGAATGAATTTGATCCTTTGTAATGTTATAGTTTTTTAAGTACTTATATAAATCTTGGGCAGAAAGTGGCTCTGAATTGCAGATATTCATTCCATGAATTAAAAAAAAAGCTTTCGGCGTCGATGGAATTCATTAGCATCGCTTGGAGGTGACTGAATGCATATCTAGCCTTTTCAATGACTCGCGGTTTCCTACCGACGTATCGAGCCAGTGCTGCTATCCTCCCAAATAAGTCTGGTACTAATTTGCTGAGTCTGAAGGGATGGAAGCCCTGGTGGGTCATGGGCGTGGGGATCGATTCCACGTGTGTGTTGAAGGGCGCCGCCTCCGACCATTGCGCCACACGCACCCATTCTAAGAATTGCTGTTAAATAAATATATTACAAACAATCATATTGACATTAATACGTCACGTTAAACTAGACATTCCTTACGTCTTACTCCCTGAATTGGACGAAGCAAAATGCGTGGAGCATTCGGCGTCCTTCAAGCCATGAAGGATAAGCCATGCACTCGACTTCGTTGGGCATCGACTGGATATATGCTTGGCCTAAACGGTTTTTAAATATAATAGGGCAGTATTTACTCCCATACAAGTCTGATACCAATTTGTCGACAGCGGAGATCTGAATGTCTTGGAGCGACGCCCCAAAACGAACGGTTTGGCCGAAACAAAGTCCCGTTTATCTTGCCCTTCATTAGCGGTGAAATAAGTGTAGCGATGAACCGATACTTAAGAAGGGCAGATCCAGAGGAATCGGTAGCGATAATTGAAATACCACCGAATACTCTTCGTCGTCAGTTAGTTCGTAATCGCCTTATATGATCATCTATGTGGTAAACAAAATTGCATAATTTGCCCTTATGGCAGGGACAGTGGCTGCATGAGTTCAGGTACGATATACCTAATTTCTTTTAGTACTCGCGGAGACGAATATATCGGCAAAACGGACAGACCTTTATGTATCAGTATAAAAGAGCTTCTAGATGGTAAACAAAAAGTAGGACAAGGTACACTACAAGGAATGTATAGGGTATAGAAACATAGCGGAGACGACCTTAATATAAAAGTCGCTATCGTCGCACAGGATTCCAAAACACTAACGCGTAAACTTCTCAAGGCGTTTTGGATAAATGCTATGAACTCGAGAATTAATAGCAGGGAAGAGTGTCCAGAGATAAAACGTGATCTAGCTCTCCATCTCAGAATTGCTTTTTGATGAGTGGTTGTACAGACACTAGCCATATGCAACTCTGTACGGTTTTTCTTCCTGGATAGAAGTCAGGTAAAAACGGTAGGTTTTCCGAGAAGCTGAAGATCGTGTAATTGTCGTTCCGGTTTTCATCTTTCTGTTTGTGTTGTTGAAGCTGGTAAATTGCATATCAGTGTACCTTTTCAGGTTCTGAATAAGGCGATACTACCGTCAGCTACCGATGTGTTGTATCTGTTCTTCTTGTAAGGAAGTAAACGTGTGCTGAATAACAACCTCGTGATTGTTGAGAAAGAAAACAAGATATTTATAATACAATGCCAAGGTTGACGGAAAATCGGTCTCGGGAACTGAATGTCTCGGTTTGTCTACGCGCGGGACCGAACCAAGAACTACGTGTCTATTGCAAAGCACGTCTGACGACTCTATTATACCTGCCCTAGTTGAGCACGATAAAAGGAATAAAGGACAATCCTCTCAAAATTGATCAATTTCTCAAAGATGCGCCATGCATTTTACTTCATTAACCATCGCTTGGAACTGATTGAATGGATATTTGGCCTATGCAATGATTCGCGGTGGCCTACCGATGTGTTGCGTCAATGCTGCTATCCTCGCAAACAGGTCTGGTACCAATTTGGCGGCTCTGGAGAGATGGAAAATTGTTGAGGCCGAAGCGCAGGATCGATCCTAATGTGTTGCAGGGCGCCTGTAACCACTGCGCTACAGGCGCCACTTTCAGTTGAGTAAAGTATCTTAACCGCTTTTATTTATTGCCTGCTCTTTTTAATGGCAGGGTATATTGCGAAATATAACTTTAATGGTGCTGAGATATTTGCAAAACTCTGGACCGCAGGTGTCTGCGGTGGAGAACGAACGCGCCTTTCCTTTCCGGGGAGTAATGCGCTCACCACCACACCATGCGGGCCCTTCGTTTCGCTTGCCTCTCAGCTGGAGTATCTTTTGTTAATATTCTGCATAGCAACATTCAAATAGAACAAAAGGGAACAAAAATGAATGAATGTTAAATCAAGTGGACGGCAGCAACGTTTGAAAACATGCGCGATTTTCACTGCACAGGGCGAATTCCAGAGAACCGTTGGACAAACAAGCAAACCGAATGAGTTGAGAAGCTTCTGTGAAAGTATTACCTAATCAAAATCATCATGAAAACAACCAAAAAACAAAACATTCAATTAAGCATAACTGTGGGTTACTCATTTCTACTAACCACACTGTCGGAGCAAAGTGGCTGTGAACGATGGGCCGCTCCTCCGGTGGTGCTGGGGCCTTTACAGGGGCCTACCACGCGTTCAGAGAGGAGTGCAACCGGTATGCCAAGCAGAAACTGATACCAGTCACCAACAACGTAAGTTGGAAAAAATGTTGCAAGTTGTTTCGACTCTTTCGACATTTTAAATTCATTTTCAGATCAACATGATCACTATGACATACAACGAAGTCGGCATGGAGCAACTGACGTCGGAAAGCTTCGGAAGCCTTCTAGAGGGTATCGACACTTTCATCTGTGGCGCAGATGGTTAGCATTGCTGGAACTATTAAAGAATATCATAAGTTTGTGGAAATAACAATTAGTGTTGTTTTATTATATGGCAGAAATCCTCTCAATGGTGGTAAGGCCATGGTTTGACGCCACTCAATGGTAACCAAGGCTCTCACCCCAACAACTTGGTCTTAGGTATACGTGTGAAAACCTCTCGCTGATTCACAAGGGCTGGCCAATGCATGTGGAGAAGCTTGCTATGGAACGCCCTACCACCCTCTCCTAGGACTCGAATGAAGGGGGTATAGGAAAATCCGAAAACCTTCGTGGCCGATGAATCCTAGGAAACGAAACGAATGTAAGGAGGTTCCAAGGTTTGCACAATTTGTGATGTTGGTCATTTAATAACAGGAAAATGCGCTTCTTTGCACCCATGAAGTGCTACCCCACAATTAAAGGATTATTTTTGCGTTATGAAGCGAAAAATGGCTTCTAATTGTAACAGTATCGACCTCTCAAATACATTTCCGATGCTTTTGAGTAGCGCTCAAAAAGCAGTGGTGCGCGTCGTGCATTTTCAGTGACTATTCACAAAATCCTTAATCTACCATTTCTAACTGGCATATCATGTTAAGTGGCTTAAATCTTCAAAGTATGTTTTACAGGGTTCTTGTGGCTTCGAGAAGGCGTTATACTCGAGGCTTCCAGCTTAATAAATATGCTGATTGAAAATAAGAAAGAAATCATCATTTTAACCAACGATACTACGAGAACACGAGCTAACCACGAGCAAAAACTTAAAGAACACAGATTCAGTCCCAAACTTTCAAAGGTGTGTTCGACCTTCGTTTAGCTCACTCTTTTAAATTCTTGGAAGCAACATTACCACTTGCTGTCAGGAGGGCAGTCCGAGTATCAGCATGTATAGTAATTAGGCTACAATAGTAGACTGCCTTTCTGATTAATAGGTCTCAGTTCCCTAGCATTTAACATTTACAATGATAACTCATTTTCCATACCCATTAAAGTAATGCACACCGTGGTGACACTACCATTGTGAAGCATGAGTTCCCTTCTGTCAGAGTCTTAAACCTGCGAAGGAGTCATTGCAGTATAGGCACTCCCTAGTTTGTTTTGTCTCTTTATAATAGTCCACTCTTCAGCTCTTTTTTTGTTGGTTGCGAGGCTGCATCCTCTTGCCCAGATGATGGATAAAAGGTGAAAAGCAGATCAAAATATTGCCTATGTTTATGCTGTGATGCAGATGACTTTAGCGTAGATTCTGCTCTCTACTGTCCTTGTTGCGTATACATTTAGCCATAATCATGAATGCTTATCTGGATATGCTTGTGCGAACATGGATGCTACCTCACACGTCATTTTCCGCCAAGGGATACGAACAGTTGTTTTTCAACTATCCACATATATGGTTGGATTCGCGTGTGGGCTTGGTGCAAAGTGAAGGATTGAAAGTTGACTCTAAATTGGCTTACATGGAGGATGTCTACTTAACTTTTCGAAAGTCAACTTCGAGGTGGTTTTGGCCTTTTCAGCATCCACACCAATGCTCTTCTCGTCCAAATGTCGTTTTCTCTGTCCATTATGTGACCATCTGATCTATGTTTATTTCATGAGACGTATTTCACTGACTCACGAAGACAGAGCATTCTTCGAAGATGTGAATTAGAAAAACCGGCTCAGTATTGAGTGCGCAAGTTCTTCTTCAACAGACTGCTCGAGTGTACTGGATATTTAGCATAACTACATCGAAATAACTAAAAATGTGAACATACAACCACAATGGTGGTGAGATGTTTGCAAAACTCCGGACCGTTGGTGTTTACGGTGAGGACCGAACACGCTATTACCCTTTCTGGGGGCTAACACATTCATCACCGCACCATGCCAGTCCTTTATTTCCTCGAAATAGTTGGAGTAGCAGAGAGGTATAGTAGATGGAAATACGAAATTATATGAAGCTCTAACCAGTTGGAAAACATTTCAGTCTTATTCGGTTAACCACCCAGTAGGTCAACAACTGAACAACCAGTTACTTTCTTTTGCCACTCCAAACTTGAGAGAGCCAGCAGTGGAAATTATTGACAGGTTTAGTATTTCATAACATGAATGTTTCTGGCAACGCTTCAGACTGCTGATGTTTTAAGGGTTATGTTTACGCTGAGCTTGTGTGCTGGAAACGCTCTTTCAGGACCATATTATAACACCAGGACTTGTTGCCGCCGATTTCATCAAAAAGTCATCGAATTTTAAAGGGAAAGCAGTTTACGTAATTGCATCCGAAGGCGTTCAGGACGAATTTGCAAGTAGTGGTATGTTTGTTGAACAGGATTTGCTGAAGAGATGTAAACATGAATTCAAAATCGTTTGAAAAAATCTGAAAGATTAGCGCTGTTTTATTAAGGAATAGGGAATAATTTGGTTTAGGCATCAAATATTTTGGAGAAGGACCGGTCTTGTTACCCCACCCAAAGACAGAAGCTCTTGTCTTTACCCCCGATCTTCCTGTGAAGGTACAGCAACATGTTTTACTTGGAAAATCAAAATCGAGGACGTGTAAGCCGTTAATGGTACCGCATCCATACTTACTCATTATGGGCATCGCGGGGGATAAAAGGCGCGAGTCTAATGGCGCGGTTAGAAACGTGCAAAGTATGGGTATTAATTACTTCCATCCGGTTTTGCGATAAATCATTAGTCATATTTTGCATAAATCCGAGCAATTTAATGGAATGCACATACTATTTAACAAACAAATCACCTTGTCATCACACTCTAAATAGACTACTCACTCCAATGGATCGTGAAATGTAAAACAGACATGGAAATTCATCCAGAAGAAACTAGTTTAACTCCAAGAATTTTAAAATAGCAACAGATTAAATCCACTTAGACGAATTGTTTTGGTGGATTCTTCTTGTGAGTGGTGAACTTGGTGATAAATATTTGGAGTAAAAACCATACGATTTCGGTGGGCCATTGAGAGAATGAAGGGTCGATAGTGAGATTTCGAAAGATACTCAAAATGGATTTTTTCATAGTAAAGCAGTTACCATAGTGTGCAAGAAAAATTGGATTCCTATGACTTATTGTAAGGTTACACGAGCAAGAAAGATTAAAACCATTTGGTCATTCCCGCCTTCCAATCAACGAGCCTTGTGTATAAACGGAACAACCATTCCACAAATTCTGTTCTTAATCTTATATAAATTGGCTTCAGACTTTCTTTGTAGGTAACGGCTTCCTTTGTCGATTTTGAACACGACTTTGCAAATATCCTGGCATCATGGTGGTTTTATTTGACATAACATTGTAATTTCGACCGCTCCCCATATCACGATGCTCCCTAGATTTCCTTTGACGAGTGATTTATGGTGACGAGTGATCGTTAGGTTAAGAAACTAGCCGAAAGAAAGACAAACCAGGTGCACCAGTAGTGCAATGGGTAGCATGTGAGTCCCCGGAAAGGGTAATCGCGGGCTCAAATCTGGGCCTGGGTCCAAGTTTTGCAAATATCTCAGTATTATAGTGGTTTTATTTTACATAATATCCCGCCGTGAAAAAGTAATACGCAGTAAATGAAGAGTCAAGCACTATTACGGTTTTGCAACCATAATGGACTTCTCCGACTCTTTGCAGTTTGATGAGCATTAGTATCCAGTTCCCATTACGAAACAGCAACAGTAAAGAGTTCAGAACAGAATAGTTTTTAATTGGAAGACCCCGAAAGTCCGAAGATAATTTTCAACATCTTTTAACCTTAACGTTCACCACCTAATTGTTTCCAAATAGCAAGTAGCTTTAGTAAACGGAAAGCATTTTTAACTTGACAGTTTTTTTCTAGACATGATCACAAAACGTCATCTGGGATGGCATCTGTGTAGGTATAGAAAGGCCTCAATGGCTATCGTCATCATACAGTCGGGTACACATAACATCTTGATTGATTCGAGTTTCAATGAACATTTTGCAAAATTTATTATATTTTGAAACAACATTGAAGACAATGCCCTCACGTCAAGCTGGTGTATTTTTAATGAAATTACTCCATCAATACGTGCTTACCCTTTTTGATAGTCGGACAGCACTTCCCGCGATTTCATTCTTTCTTTTTGAGGTGGAGGACGTAGGCGCAGTTGTGGTCGGTTTCGACGAAAATTTCAATTACAAGAAAATGATGAAGGCAACGAACTATTTGAAGAACCAAAAATGCCTTTTTCTTGCCACCAATGACGATGCTGCATTTAGTTCTCAGAAGAAGGACATCATTGTTCCAGATGCAGGCAAGCCAATAATAGACCATTTAAAGAAGCTGTTAAGTTACCTAAGCATTGAAATAAATCACTGAGGATTTCGATGAGTTGAAAAAAGCTCAATGACCAACTATGATTTTCGCCTATCTCTCCTAGTATTCCTCTCTTTCTTGGAAGGTTTCGAGATAAACTAGTTGTAGTGGTTATGTACTGTAATGTGAAAAGTGTTCAGTCTTGAAGTCTGTCACCGGGAAATAATAAAAGCTGTAAAAGATAAAGCCCCGGCTTTGATCAATCCTTTAGGGATGCACCGTGCATTCGACATAATTAAGCACGGCTCGGAGGTGGCCATATCTGGCCTTTTATAGTGACCGGCCTACGGATATATCGAGCCAGTGCTGCTATCCTCTCAGACAAATCTGGTACCAATTAGCCGATCTCGGAGAGGTGGAGGACTCGGTGGGCGCTGGAATCGATCCCTGGGCACTGCAGGACGCCTTCGACCACTGCGCCACACGCGCCTTAAAACGGAGGAAAATGTGACGCGAACATTGAACGTAATCGAAAATTGGAAAAAATAAGGGTGGAGCTGACTATTGCCCAACATTCGTAAAGAGCTAATTATCCAATTTTCTTGTTGAGATAATAGATATTATTGAAGGACCAGTTGACTACAGGAAAATATTGATGGAAGGAAATGTAGGTGCTATTGTTGCCGCTGTAAGCAAAGCATCCAACAGAGAAGCGATTGTCATCGGAAAACCGCATCGTCCAGTCTTCGACTATATTAAGAAGAAATGGCATATTGATGAAACCCGAACGATGATGATTTGTAGCAGGTTCGATGATCCTTTCAATGTTTAGGCTGAATTCGTTGCCAACTCTGATTGAGCCAGTTCACGGGCAGACTGTGTGTATTGTTACGCTGCTCGACCCTTCGCAGTCATCGGACGCGTGAAAGATACATCGTGCATTTTTCGTAGTAAACTCAATACGGCGAATTATTCCGATCATGAAATGAGCGAGTAATAATCATTCTAAAGCAATGATTCCCATCGACCTCTTGATCACACGGGAGAGTACATAAACAATAAACTTGTAACCAAAGCCTTTTCAATGTTGATGAGATAAGTGAGGAGGTTTTCTTTACCGGAAAAACAGAGTGAAAGAGATAGACTTTAGCACTACATAGGCTATACTTGCCAGGCAACTTCTGTGATACCACCATGTCGCTCTTCTTGGGACATTTGGGACGAGTTATCCTACGACTATGTTTGTTGCTTGCTAATCTTTGGAATGAATTACAGACTTTGGATTAAATACGGGGTCAGTGAAATGTTGAATGTGGGATACACTGTTGTAGTCTCTTATAAATCTTAGATCTGACGAATTCGAATGCGAGGTCGTCTGTACAGAGTCCCTGTCTAACTTCACCTACAGTTTATTTTTCTCTGGTTTGCAATGGACGAAGGAGCAATTCGCAACGTTCTTTGTAAATTACTCTTTAATGAAACGTCAACTGTGATTGTAAACAAGATAAACCGTTTTGGCGCTAAGCATGCGGCAGATTCTTGCCAACACTGAATAGATAAGATCTGGAAGTGCACAACATGAATAGAACAGAGACGACGTACTCTTCACCTTCCACACATAACAAAGATGTTGTTGATTCCGCACTTAATACGATGTCACTGAACGACACCATTAAGAAAAGGCTTCCTCTTCTTTTCATGCGTTCTTCGTCTTTTGAATAAAAACCTTTACACTTTTATCAAAGCAGTATGCATTGAGTTCTTAATAGTACTTGTATAAGCCACAACTCTTGACAGAGCCCTTCTGAGCACTCTTCATTTCGTGAGTGTGTGAAAAGTTCCTCATTTTCTCGTCTAGCTAATATTCTATGCAGTTCTCATTAGTCTCTCGTCGAACCGAAGCCTTCAACAACATAAAGGGGACTCGGCACATTTAATTAGCCAACCAGTACTAGCTTTCCAACAAACCTATAAATATTGGGTACGTGTAAGTGGATTTGCGTTCTGGAACTCAAAAAAAGTTGCGGAAACTAAATAACAGCGAGTGGTTTCCTCTACCCTATTAGTGCTTCACGTTGCTCGCAAAATCTCATTGAGGATGTTGGCATGGTGAGGTGAAATGGGCGAGGCGGATAGGGTTTATATTTATGGTGTTGGCAAAAAATCAGAATGGAATGGGCTTTACAAGGACTTATGAAAGCCATTTTAAGCATTAATGGTGACGTGAAATTCGGCAATACTCATGGTATGCGCACACTTCTCGTCCTCAACGAATCTGTAAGACTGGACGATCTGGAACAGGTTAGTCTATTGAACGACTGATCTCCTCATTTTGGACTTGAGTTAAACATGTGGCCCCCTTTGTCATGCTCATAATTTCATGCAGGTACAGCTGTCCGGACAAATTGACGTGCTTCCTAACTACTACGCCACATCCATCAGTGCATTACTTCCGAATATTAAATAGGTAGCCATAGTGTCTATTCAAATTGAGCACAACAAGCGAACCACTCATAATGGAAATGCGTTGCTTAAAGTAAAGATTTATTATTACTTTGGAACAACATGACATAATGAATTGTACTAAACCCTTATCTTAACGACGGAATGATTTTTGTGGATGGTATTCGGAGCAGAATACAAATGCGTATGGATTCGCATGGCAATCCATACAGCGACGTCTTTTCGATCGATACGCATACATTGCACAACACTACACTACCAGAGTATGTGTTATCTATCGCAATCTATCTACCGTACGCACAAAGAGAATGATAATAACTAACCAATGAGGAAGCTTACAACCACTGAACTGATTCATAACTGGTAAAATAGATAAGTTAGAAAAAAAAACGAAGAGCATTAAAGAAGGAGAAAGACACAGAAAAATGAGAGGTTGTCGAAGCTTAATGCGCAATAGGAATAATGTTATGCGAGTTATTCGAGCACTCCTCCATGTTCTACTTTACTTTGACACCTTGTTTAATCCATTTCTCGTTCTGGTTGATTGGCTCGATTTCCTTACCGGATTTATCGTACACTATCACCTTGTATATGGTAGGAAACAACCACGCGGTCTCATTCGCCAACCTGAAAAACACCAGTGCTTTTGTCGCTGCCATGAATATTGTAAAAAAGCGTTCTGAGAGATGTAGTATGTCTGCTTTGAATAGTCAGTGCCAATCAGTTCAGGTTCAAATCTCTTTCAAATTCTTGTCTTTGCAACGAATAATTCGTTTGTGTTCGTAGGAAACGACAATTGGAAAAGCTTATTATAAACAGATAAATAAGAAAAGGATAGAACTTTCGGCATTGATCAATCCCTGAAGGATGCGCCATGCATTCGACTTCATTCGTTGGAGATGATTGAATGCATATCTGGCCTTTATGACCTCATTTGTAACGTTATAATTGAATTATGATAAAAAGGATAAGATAAGGATGAAACTCTCGGCGCTGATCAATCCTTGAGGGATGCGCCATGCATTCGACTTCATTAAACATCGTTTGGAGATGACCTTTACAATAACTCGCGGTGGCCTACCAATGTATCGAGCTAGTTCTGCTATCCTCCCAAACAAGTCTGGTACCAATTTTCCGACCTCGGAGGGATACAGGGCTTGTTGGGCCATGTGCGCGAGTATTAATTCCACGTGTGTGCTGCAGAGCGCCTCCGACCACTGACCTCACAGGAGCCACGCGTGCTCTTATAGACAGATAATTCCAGAACGATAGATATTTGTTATCACAATTTTAGGCGGAAAGAGTTGCAGAAATATACCAAAACTCTTTCGTAATATGGCTCACTACCATCTTCCAATATTTTTCTTCCAAAATATACTTGAACCTTTTCATTCATCAAAAAGATGGATGCTCTCAGTGAAAAACAGAAAAGATCTCTGACTATGTCAGAATAAGTCTAAAGACTTACGAGGGTAAAACAGTGCTGAGAATTGAAGTGAACGAAAAATAACAAAGTGAAAATGGCAATGTGTTGAAATGTCGGCCATCATAGTAGGGAATTAACTTGGCACACTAACTTTAGACGGTAGAATCCGACACGTTCTGCTCGGAGATCGTTGAGGTCCATGGCAGGGAGACCACATTTATGTGTCGGTGGATGAAGAACTTCCCACTCGTCTTCAGTGACATCCTGAAAAGCGGGAAAAAATAACTTCCGAAAGTTTGGTTTAGAAACACATCTGTAGTATTTTCTTCATCACGCTATTTCTGGCTGATACTACGAAATATCTAGGCGGTAATAGTTTCCACTCTGCATAGACCAAATGACTTCTGTTTTTTTCTACAACTTTTGCAAAAATTTTCCTGACAATCACGGAACCGCCCCAATATTGCGATGGTAGTGAATCTTCGTACAACAAACTGTAGATCTTCCTGGGATGGAGGCGTTTCTTTGACTTTGTCGCAAACAGACCAATTGGACTTCCGCTGCTTAACACCACTTTACAATGAGGTCAAGGTTTCTATTGGGGACCGATCCCTTATTTAGAGGTCTAACCTGGATGCACAGATGACGGCTAAATCGAGGAATCCGACCGACAGGAAGCAAATACTCTCAAGGGAATTCGACGAAATATGTAACAAAGTCTATTCTGAAGGGTCCATAACTATTCTCTTTTCTCACTAGTCAACATTTACTTTATCGGCAATGCTCCTAGAGCTCCTCCTTTCCATGGGTTTTAGGCCTAATTTTACCGAAACAATTCCGTAGTTTTGGCAGATGTGTATCTTTAAAATAGATATCACTTTCCGACAGTGACACAGCATAGGATTCCCTGCACAGCTGTTTCATATCAATAACAGCACATAATGACTAGAGACTGGATCGACACCGATTTTAACCCTTAATCAGCACCGCCTTTCGGACAATTCGGCTCGATTCAGCAAGCTAAGGAGTCGGCAATTTCCAGTATAGCTTCCCTCCGCTCCACAGATGCTTTATCTTTTCAGGCGCCTTGCTAGGCTAGTGGGTTCCAGTTTCTGATCGCACTCAGCAATCATTGACCTTGCCATCTTCTCTATTATTCAGTGATCGTATAAGCGTTTTACAGCAAACACATAACTGACCTCTTTTTCTGAATAGTAGTAGGAGAAAGTGATGTCGGCGTCGTTTTGTGAGTAGAATAGGAGTTCCGTATTGACCGGGACAAAATATACCAACGTCCTTGATCTTGCTAAACGGCGGACTATTATATATAAATACACTCATATATATATATATATATACGCATACACAAATATGTGCATATATATGTATATATAAGTACATATATATTTATTTTTATAACAGCAGAACGATGACAAATGTAGGGAAAAGGTTAGAAATAAGATTTAAATGCATCATTTTGGAAATGTGATGGAAAGGTGCCCTTGTCGATGTTAACTGCTTCACAGTGACAGTGCTTTGGATTGCGTTGGAAAGTGGGGCAGAACTCAAATCTGATTGCTCACAAAAGTAAAGACTATTTCTGGAAAGGAGAAAGGATGGTGGAGGCCGAATTATCCCAGGATGCATGATAATCAATCCATTCAACAAGTAGCGATCTGCTGCTGCGTGTTTAGAAATCATATAGCAGTATATGCAGAAGATCCGATTATATTTATACCTAAGCCTGGAATAAAATATGTAGAATACATTTGATAGAGGATAAGGACAAAGCATTCGGCGTTGATCAATACCTGAATGATGCGACGTGCAATTGATTTCATCAAGAAGCGTAGAGGTAATTGAATGCATATCTTGTCCATACAATAACTTGCGATGGCCTACCGATTTATCAAGCCAGTTCTGGTATCCTGTAAGATAATTCTGGTACGAATTCGCCGATCCCGAGGTGATGGTAGGCTAGGTGTATCCTTGCGGGGGATCGAACCCGACCATCGAACGACTCCACTCCGTGCTATAGGTCGCGTACTTCTAATCTTTGCGCTCTCCTCCTTCCATTATGTATCCGTATATATCCGTTTAGCGACATTTATAAAGTACACCATCTCTCAAAGGCTTAACCCAAGCAAACGTGTGTTCTTGGGAGTTAAATTCGAGTTAATTCATTATTCGTTAATTCATTAGTTATTCAGGTGATTTGTCCTCAAACAGGACCTCTAAAGTCAAAAAGTTCGCCACTGGAAGGTCAGCTAAGGGGAAAGCTGTGTCAGGGATCGCTGCCGTGGTGGAATAAACCTAATCGAAAGTTGATATACCTTCTTGATTTATCGTTGCTGGTGCCTGTATATGCTTGGTATGCCTTTCTTGGCACTCAGTGGAAGGTCTTCTTCATCCAGTAAAACACCGGATAAGTCGGCATTTCGCTGGAGTTCAAAAAATTTTTATTGTGTGGAAATTTAAGGGTCGAGAGAGGTCGAGTATCAAGCATAAAAAATTTTGAGCTTGCTGAACTTCTAGATGATAGTCGCATTACCGTAGAGCTTATTACAGAAAAATCATTAGTCAAAAGTGATCGGGTCGAGTAGACTATTGAGGCGCCATCATCTGGTCTAAAGAAATATTTTTCAATACATAATTCAGTAACAATTTCATTTTGCATCAATGTATGTTTGTTATTGCTATGCTTATCTTAATGTCCTGTCATAGTAAGTAAGGCAAAGCAGTGGTTAGTGAAGCGGTTCATCAGAAAGCAAGGTGCTAATTCGACTTCCTCCTCAATGCTCTCGTCCAACCCACGTAGGAACACCTCGGCTCGGTTATCTCCAAGACTGCAAGGGGAATCGACGCAACCAGCATTATACGACATTATATTCTTTATAAAGAAATGGAAATTCTCAAGCAGCAGCCAAAACCACACGATGTCTCTGAAGACCTTTGTGGATGATGAGTGCGAGGAAAACAAATAGAATGCAAGAAGTGCTGGGATCCACACAGTAGATGTAATGATTGGTCACGTGAAATAACTAATGATAAATCTACCGTTGTTAATTTGAAAGTCTAACTAATCACTAATGGATAGAAAGAGGACGAGAAATTGGTACCAAATTTGTCTGGGATCAGCTCAATTCTTCCAATGGATGTGGGAACGTTCTAACACGGTTATATTAGTACTCTAGTGAAGACAGACCCAAACAGCATTCAATGAGGTTCATAACGGAGGTGAAGATCTTCAAGAAGAACCCGAGCTCACAGACAAAGGCTTGGAAAGTTTAGTGGATGATGGCTGCGAGATAACGAGTAGAAGGCACATTGCGATCCGCAGAGTAGATGATGATGGATCAAGTGAAATAAAACGAAATAAGATAAGAGATAACCAACAAAATGATTATGACTGTAGAATATTCACAGAATAAGGCTGTACAATACTACGTCCAGGCTCTGAGGAACGTGAACCCGCTGAAATGTTACTCACCGAAAACCAAATATCTGTTAATAACTTCGAGCCAGCAAAAGAACAGTTCCTAAGATCAAGAAAAAGCTTTTGCCATCATTTCTCAAAATTCCTCAGTGTTCTCGCTAATGCGCTCAGAAAAGCTAGAGTACTTCAGATTGATCGCTGGAAAAAGTAAATTGCACATGCAGCGGAAGGGATCAAGAAGTCCCAGTCTTCAAATAAATTCCTTCTGTTAACTTTCTATTTACTTCTTCCTGCATTTTTTCACGGCAGAGTATTATGTGAAACACAACCACAATGACGCTGAGATAAATGTATAGATTATTATACTAGATAAAAAATATAAATACCCTGCCGTGAAAAGTTGTAGTAAGCAGTAAATAAAAAAGTTAACATTGTGATTTCGATTACTGCCTCAGCTTAACGGGGTTCAATGCGATTTGTACTCTCCAGATCAATCTCATTGACGGATGCCCTGGTAGATAGGAAACTAGTTGAGAGAAATCAGAAAGAAAGAACCCGCATGGTGTAGTGGTGAACGCGTTAGCCCCCGGAAAAGGTAATAGTGTGTTAGATCTCTACACCAGACCCCTGATGTCCGAAGTTTTGCAAATATCTCAGCACCATTGCGGTTAGATTCGTTCCAATGTAATTTTTCAAAGATGCCTATCAAATGAATGGGGAAGCAAGGAATGACAGTAAGAACTTTCCACCAAATGGAAAAACCAGACACGATCTACTGGCAAAATCACTCCAACAGCACTTTTTCACAAATATGCGGCCGACAACCAACTCCAAAAAAACAACTAATTATGCAAATACTGCTGTTCTTGATTTGTCACTTAAGTGAGAGGGGGAATCCAAAGTTCAGACCTGCACTCCAAAATGCCGAAAATCTGGTATGCCAGAAACAAAGTGGGTTCACATGACAAACAATAGAAAACAGGTATTAACGGTTGGACTGCTGTGGATGTCAAACACACAGGAAGACCACAGAGCCAATGGCTGTAGTTCTTCGCGAAGATCGTAGAAGAAGGATATGATGCTCAACGAGTCTTTAGAGCGCCAGCACATAGAACTACTGTCTCGGGGTTACTCGACGTACAATGGAAGGACAGGCGACGTGAGTGATATAAGTGATACCTAGGTATACGTATGGCTTTACATGTTGTATTGCCCACAGAAATTCTCCCATTCCGGTCTTGCAGCCATCATTTATGGAGGTGGTTGAGTTCGCGAATGCGATTGGCTGTTTTCGATCCGACTGTCACTTCGTTCACTTATCGATTTGTTTGAAGCCTGCTAGGATATTGCTAGATTTTGACTACAGGACACCACTTGCCACTGTTGATCGGATAGTTGTCTGCACTCCTGCGACTACGATTGTTTGCTACGGCGATGACCACCGTAGCGGGAACGATTTCTGGGGTAAGATGATTGATTGATCGGGACTTGCAACAAGCCAAATTGGTCTCGCGAATAGATATTGGTAATGGTTAAGCTTGCCACTAAACTAGTCGGTTAGAATGGTGTGAAGGTAAAAAGGGACTAGAAGAAAATGTATGTTGTTGACGAAAATGTTGTGGCTGTTGAGATAGGCGCTGTTTAATAGAGAATCGATGATATCTAGACGAGAATCTTTGGCTTAGAGCAAAGTGCTTGGCCAGGATAGTGTGGGAACAGAAATGGTATGCCTCCAACTAATGGAACATTTGGCATCCGCAAGCACTCGGAAAACTTCAGGAAAGGTTCGGCCTAGTTGCAATTCGATTTACTTAATACATCAGCACTGCTTTCTCTGCGATATTTTAACATTTGGAATTACTTTAGATATCTAATTAAAAGAAGAAGAGAGGTTAAGAAGAGCTGAATTCAAGAGCTGACGAATACTGTGTAACGACTACACTTCATGGATACGTCAATTTAGATTGATTTAGCCTCAACTCATCAAAATTAAGACTCAGACTTGTTCCAGCAATTGAACATTTCAGCAAACTATTTCCTTGATGAGGAAAACACAAGGTTGTTAACGGCAAGATTTATACAATACAACGCTGGCTGACGCTTCAGCGGTTTCGCTTTCTTTAGAGCCGTTTTGTTGGTCTTAAGTCCTTAGTAATTATTGAAGATCAGCCGCAAAGAGCCTTAGGTGGGCTCGTGTTTGTTCATCAGGAAAACAGTGTAGGATTGATCAATGCTGATGTTAAAAGAAATTCAGAGCTGGAATTTCAGTAAATATCGTTTTAAACTAGTTACTGTATGAAGCTTCGGCAGTTTGTTCGTAAGTCTTTGTGCTTCGATAAGGACAGTTTGAGACCTCCCTGATCGTTCTATGTAACCGTAGAACGAGGTCTTCAATCATGAGAAATCACAGTTACCTGCGGGAATCGAGATGCGATGCATAGCGGCGGCGTTCGGATAACCCGCTCTCGGTCGCCAATACAAGTCCTTGGGCACTGGTTTTGGATCCCTGAAGAAACTAATTAAATAGAATTTCATTCCGAAGCAAATGTATATAATGACATACCTAGGAGCTAAAATTAAGCGCTGATAGTAGCCTAGAAAGTTGTAAACAAATAAATAACATTGAACTCAAAAGCATGTTCATGATAGCTAGCTGAGTCTCGTCACTTTTGTGTCCTCAAGTGCTGCACGCCTGGTTGAATGCAATTGGAGAAGTCTATACCTCATTATTTTTTCATCCAAAACTTGACCTCCGTATCTCTCAGGCAAACAGTTAGAATCGGCAATCTCAAGAATCTCCTGTCGCCAATTTTTTCCAGTGATTGCGATACGACTCTTTTCATCCTCGGCAATAAACGAGGACAGCGCGGCCCTGTAATGATACATAACTATTTCCGCGCATCATCTAGCTGTCTGTAAACACCAAACTTCGTTAATATTTTGGATGATTGGGCCTAAATTAAAAATCAAGATCTACGAGAAATTCACCAAAGCACATTGATGTAACTGGGTGTGTTGATGACGATGAATCGTCCGACAAATTCTCGATAATGCTGGGCGATCAATTGCCATGAAGTGCGAAATGGCCCTGGAAAAGTTCGATGGAGACCAACCATCACAATTCACATATCAAAGGATGGCTTTTTCTTCGGCCAAGAATGCTTTTTTTGACAATACTTTCCAAAACAGCACAAGTATTCGAGATTGTAAACAGTAATCTTATCTCGTATATAATGCTGAGATATTTGCAAAACTCCGGACCGCAGGTGAAATTATTTAGCGCCACTCTCGAGAACGTTATGCGAACACTGGAATGGGATAATATGGGAGTGAATATCAATAGCCGGCAGTTATATCATCTTCGCTTTGCTGATGACATCGTCCTTATAACACCAAACATTAGCCAAGCGGAACGCATGCTTGCCGACTTTGATAAAGCCTGTGGGAAGATTGGTCTTCGACTAAATCTCACAAAAATGATGTTCATGAAAAATGAATCGGTTTCGTATACCCCATTCACGCTCAACGAAACGAATATCACTGGTGTATAATGCTGAGATATTTGTAAAACTCCGGACAGCAGGTGTATGCGGTGGAGAACGAACGCGCTATTGTCCTTTCCGGGGAGTAGCACACTTCACCACCACACCATCCGGGTCCTTCCTAAATAAAAGGGTTAAGATTGTGATTATAACTAAGCCTCAGCTTAACTGGGTTCAATGCCGATTTGGGCTCCCCAGATCAACCCCGTTGACGGGTGATTGCTGATGGCAAAAGATCGATAGAGCTAGCTGAGAGACAGGCAAAACGAAGGACCCGGATGGTGTGGTGGTGAAGTGCGCTACTCCCCGGAAAGGACAATAGCGCGTTCGTTCACCACCGCATACACCTGCGGTCCGGAGTTTTGCAAATATCTCAGCATTATACACGAGTTATATTTCGCAACATACCTTGCCATTAAAAAAAGGCAGTAAATAAAAGGGTTAAGACTCATTCCTTTCATTTCTTTTATACGACATGGTTCACACGAAAACTCCTATATCCTCCATCAAATAACCGATTTCTTTTCCATCAAATCGTATTTATAATGATGATAAAATTTTCTAGTTAAATTCTAAACTTTCTAAAAATTAAGAAGTTTTCAAAGCCGTTCAGTAATGTTCTCCAGGAATCGACGCGCATACCATTGAGAACACCGAGCAGTGTTGGATCGAAGCTGAGGCCGTCAAGGTCAAAAATGTAGTACACGTAGCATTGCACACCCGTTCTTGCTTCCATCTAAACACGAGTTCATTGTTTAAATAAAAAACAAAAAACATTCAACAAACACTAAATGATGGCGAAGGTCAGACTGTATCATCTATGACAGTCAGGAAACGAACTCCGTCAAATACGGTGGCATAAGAAGCGAATAAAATCGGATGAACAGACCTCCATCATCAGTGACAGAATCTTCTCAAAGTTTCTGTAAAGTTGATGCAAATACTCCGTCGGTTGAATCGATTTCATCACTCCTCCAATATCGACACGACCTGAAATTTGTCGATATCCGCCAAAATCACCGACCAAGCACTCGTACTGGAAGTGCTTTATCTGAGAACATCAGTTGGAAGTGATAGCAGTCTTCCAATATTAGCATTCAATTCACAAGAAACTCGCCAAGATACCCTGCAGTTTGAGAAAGAAGCGTTTTGTTCCGAAGTTTGGCTAAAAGGTTTGAAATACTTTTAATTAACGATAGAATTATATATGATCACCTATGATTTTTCCACTTTTAATTCTTCCCTTTGAAATAATTTCTGTTTTTCAGGCGCTTTAAGTGCAAGCTTTATATTTTCGCAGGTTTTCTAAAATCATAACTGACAGATTTAAACTAAAAGTGAGTTAAGAAAAGCATTTGAAAAAAGGAGTATAAAAGTTCCCTCCCAACAGTTTATCGCCTCATCGTGGCTGGGAGCTGTTCCTGGGTGCCGGGTTGCGATGTACAGCTGGAGTATTCGTCCTCCCGGCAGGATCTCCCAACCTGAGAAGGAATCCAGGGTTTCCGTCACCAAGCCTAGCTAAGAGTAAACCAGTACCAGGATCCACCACCGGCCTGATATGAAACTAGTCGCATGGTGGTAAATGAAGACCCGGGGCAGACTTTGGCCAGGCTAACCTCAGGACTCCAGGGAACCACAATGGCTAAACCTGCAAAGCTCAGAAGAAATGGAGATAATGCTGGAGCCGCACAACCAGTAAAGACGGGCCATCCCAGTATCTAAGTGTCCAGATATAAAAGTTCAGACATGAAGGCTTTTGTAATGTTATGAGATTTTCAGTCCTATCGATTCATCGAACCTGAGAAGAATTCTTGTACGTTGATTCATAAATCGATATTCGTTGAGTACTGGTTTGAAATTCGTAGGCTGACTTTTTGAAATCCATAAGCTCTCTCTACATGCTCGAAAAATCATACTGTTGGCTAAAGAACTGGTTAAAAACGTCCGCTGTTGATAGTAAAAATTTAGGTCTGAATACTTAAAGTTACTGAAGATATATCAGCATGTTGCCACTTTCACTTTCATTTACTCACCACATTGGTCCACAACAATGAGATGATCACCATCCTTTCGATTTGGTCCGACTATAGAAATCGGCGCGTACTCGGCTGTCAGCTGCAAGCGATCTCATTCACTTTCTTCCGAGGAATTTCAAAGAAGCGAGACCCACTGACTGGCCACTGGAAAACCACCCACCGCAGAGCGCTGCAATCCACGAGCGTCCTCGTCCAAGTAGCGTTCTCTGCGCCACTTCAGGTGTTTTCGAAGATTGTGAACCGTTTTCGGTATATTGAACTCGTAAGACTGCAGCCATCGGAGGATATTGAAGTGGGTGTCGTAGCGAGGGTGTAAAATGTCCGCAACTTGCGACCGAACCTACGATTCCGCTGTTAGTTGCTGGACTAGCTAGAGGAGAAAAAAGGATGAAAAGGAACCTGCTCTACGAAATTTGTGCTGGATTCCGGTTCAACAAATAGTGACATAACTACAAGTACAAAAATGAAATGAATAGCTACAAGATAATCCCGGAACATTAATGGACAAAAAAAACAAGAAATGCGAAATATTCGAATTTTATTGATGTGAAGTTAGTGGGTCGGCATTCTACTGAAGGTATAGAAGATATAAGAGCGCGTGTGGCGCATTGGTTGGAGGCGCCGCTGCGACACACGTGGAATCGATCTCCGTGCCCATGGCTCACCAAGCCTTCCATCCCTCTGGGGTCAGCAAATTGATAACATACTTATCTGTGAGGATAGCAGCATTGGCTCGATACATCGGTAGGTCACCGCGAGTCATTGTAAGGGTCGGTAATGCATTCAATCACCTCCAACGATACTTAATGAAGTCGAATGCATGGCGCATCCCTCAGGGATTGATCAACGCCGACAGCTTTATCTTTTATAGAAGATATAAAGACACGTTAATTAAAGGCTGCGATTCCCCTCCTCATTTGTTGCTAGAGGCCTGAACACCAGAAAAGGAAAGGATGCGAAACCAAAGAAACAAGAAAAGAATGATTTTAATTTGCGAGTAGATTGAAAAGACGGTGATCTTTTCAGTAGGGATCTTATATTCAGCGCCGCTGACCTATGAACATTCCACTATTACAGAAGGCCATGGGAGCTGAACAAAGTTGTGACTGATATTGTAGTTGACCCAATACTTTGCCGTAAAAGCGGAGTCATCTAGACATTCCAGTGTTCTGAATCATTTTTAATGGATTCGTACAAATTTCTCTTTGAATGCATCTTTTTTTCAACCTTTCGCTCTAACGTTAAAAAGCGTTAGTGTCATCGCACAATAGAAAGAAAAAGAACTACAAAAACAAAACGTTCAAAAGTATTAAAGAATACTGAGCAGTTCACTTTCCTAATTTTGATAACCTATTGAGGAGGATTATGCAAAGGACTGTAATTTTCGCGGCTCAAGTCTTAATGCTCATATTCAAATTATTCCGCTTTCTGAAATGGATATTAACCTCTTCCAAACACTAGTAGGAACTGATCCCAAGGAAAAAAAAGAAAAAGTGAAGATAGGAAGAATGAATAGAAGTGTGAATGCAATTCTCTTTATAGAAAAAAGTGACCATGGGAGCCACCGGTAGGAGCCACAGTTTCCTATAAAGTGCTGTTTCGCCGCGATTCAGCTTCCACTACGATCGCTAGCGATCAGAACCGGACAAATAGTACGTCGAGGCGAAATAGTGCCGACTAAGCTCTTTTCTATGACGTTGCAGAGAACGATGAAGCGACTTAGCATTTATGAGAAGACAATTATGTGGATTAACGATTCTTCTTGGGCCTTCATTTCCTCCATGAGAAGTTTATTCTATTCTTTGAAAGTATAAAGTTTACCGTAATGCTCTACAACATTCCTAACACTCTAAATCTAACACATTTTTTAAAATCTAAGAAATCTAAGAAGCAATCACAGGCGCGCGTGACACTGTGAACGGAGAGGCTCTGCAATACACTGATGGGATCAGTGCTCGCGCTGGTGGCTCACCAAGCCTTCCATACCTTCGGGGTCGGCAAATTGGTACCAGACTTTGTCTGAGAGGATAGCAGCACTGATTCGATATATCGGTAGGCCAATGCTTGCCATTGTAAAGGCCAGATATGCATTAATCTCTAACGATGCTTAGTGAAGTCGAAGGCATGGCTCATTTCTCGGGGATTGATCAATGTCGAGAGCTTTATCCTTATCCTTTGAGAAGCAACCTACAGTGCATTTACTGTTATGTAACAGCACCTCAAACACTGGAAGCTCACATATAGCTGCCAGTACAGCTAGGATGGCTATGAGATGGAAGATTTCCTGAAATTCTTCTCCACCGAAAATCGATTTTCAAAGTACTCCCTCTCCTCTGGTTTTTGATTCAGGGGAGCTCAGAAAAATTAGAGATTAACTGTCTGATTTGTATGGAGAGTCCGCTAGATGGGGAGGAATCCATATCCAAGCGAAGTCATTACATACCGATTCAGGTTCACAAACTGCGCATAAACGAGCAATTTCTCGAAGATTCGGTTCATGTTTCGTCAACTTTCCTCTAATGGTGCCCTCCAGCCTTTGAGTATAACAAATAGAAGGCTGCAGACACTACTTCATTGGTTGAAACGTTAGCAGGGTGTTCAACAATTTAAACCAACAACATAGAAGAAGATTTATTTTTCGCTGATGGACCCAGGACCTGAATTTCCATCTGATTCACTTAGTCGTACAAAAACTCTTTTACAACGGTGAAATAGAAGAAGAGCATAGGTGTTGACACGCATCACCTTATTCGCGATAATTGAAAAGGTGCGATATCCATTCAGTTGGGACTATCCAAATAAGTACTTTTTCCTGAACAAAAACTGCTTTGGTTTGTAAGGGCGATCTAAAGTATCAATGTTTACCTAGATGAACACAGGTTTCTAAGAGGGAAAGTGGAAAGAAGGAGAAATATAGACGAGAAATATGAGGAACGCTAAGTAACTCTGAATAAAACGAATCCAATATAGTACGATTACACCCCAAAGTAACAGAATGTGGTAGGAAATGGGTTTTTATTCGTTATGACTGCTCGAGTACGATGTTGAAACTTGGCGCCTCCCACTGATACGAGCGAGGGCGGACGGAATCGCCGGTCCGCCCACGTCTTGTTTCGCTTTTGACGAATCAATCGAACCGGTGACGAAGTGAACTATGGTGATGAAGTCTTCGTAAAAGCAAGTTCCATTATTCTGCTTGTGAGGATTACTTGCAAATCATAACGGTTGAGGTTTGGTGCATATGCGCGAGGTAGAGGAGAAATTCAAGAATTTATTATTCTCAGATGTAAAGCTGCCTGCAACGCTATCAAAATCTAGGCCTTCCATTTTGCACTGAGATTATGGAAATAACTAACGAAATGGGCTGTATGTCATTTATGACCCAACGAGACCCTGAAGAAGGCGAATTCTGCTGAAACACCTGGACCATTGTGGAATAGGTGATGTCTGCATAACTTTTTGTTAACGCAATAAGTGAGCAAGAACCTAGCTGTTCTTGATGGAGATTTCTTCCCATTATGCATTTAACAAATTCAACTATTACTTACTCTTCTTTTCAAGTAAAGGAAGTGATCCGAAACTTTGACCTGCGTCAACAATCAAAAGTCAAAGATGCCGTTCTGTACGCCAAACAGTCGAAGATAAGGTGGGCCGGACGCGTAATGCATATGAATGACAACCGATGGACAAGAACCGTTAGTGACTGGATTTCTCGGGATGTCAAACGTACTGCAGAAAGACCACCGACCTGATGGTCAGAGTTCTTCACGAAGAGCCTAGAAGAAAGATATGATGTTCGACGAGTCCCTAGGGCGAGCAGAACCCACTGGGCTCCTCTTGCACGCGACAGGGAAAAATGGAAGATTTACTGGTGCTTCCTCGAGTCACTCGACGATCAACGGGACTACAGGTGATGTTGGTGATATTATTTTTTCATGGCAGGATATTATGTAAACCTCAAGCCAGATTCGAATCCGTGATTAAGCGTTCCGTCCCAATGGTTTACCGCCTCACCGTGGCTGAGAGGTGCCCTGGGTGTCGGACTGCGATGTACAGCGGGGAGATTCATTTCTCTGGAAAGGTCTCTCAAGCTGAGAATGAGACCGGCGTTTGCATCAAGAAGCCTAGCTAAGAGTAAACCAATACTAGGATCCACCACCGTCCTGGGACCAAAGTCGCATGGTGGCAAATCTCCCTCTGATCCACGAGGGCTGCGACTGCCCGTGGTGGTGTGGGCCTGGAGCGGACTTTGGCCAAGCTGACCTCGGGACTCAAGAGAACCATAGTGGTTAACTAGCGAATCTCCGAGGGGTGGAGATTGTGCTGGGGCCCGCACAACCAGTGAGGACGGGTCATTCAAGTATCAAGTAAAATTAACCGTTCTAGGATCTCACGTGTCACTAGTTGCATCGCTGAAGCCCTTGCCTTGCCTTTCTCGTAGCCATTCATTTGCCCTACCTATTACAATAAATAACACTTATCTGACGAAATGACCACTATACGAGTCACGATGAGAGTAGTTGTGACAAGGGCGCCTTTTATAGAGGTCGCTTTATTCCCGTGGTTAATCGTGTTTCTATACTCAGCTGATAGCCTCCACAATACAGATGCTTTGTCATTCATATGATAACAGCAATGTGTTTGTATGCTAGAGCAAAGTAATGTACAGCACACCATGCATGTCCTTACAGCGAAGGAGCAAATGCTACTGTATAATACTACCATGTTTTCAGCCCACCACTCAAATCCTTTATTTGTCGAGAAATTATCGTTTATTTCTAAAAATCAGCATGTCCGTGGCGACATGAAATTTGCAAAAATCACTTATTCACCTTTTTAATTGGCATTTGCATAGATATCTAGACGACTCGCCCTCACAAATCGTACAGGTCCCAACAATTTTTCAATTCGTTTTGTACTCTTGGAACCATCATCCACGTAGGCCATTGAGTTTATATGTGGGTTCCCCCACAACTAGAAGCTCTGTCATCTCCCTCAACAAAATGTTGAATAGCGCTCTAGATTGTTTTCACTCGAAATTACGCATGGCCATGCAAGTAAGTTTCTGAGGTTGTTGCAAACCAGGGGCCTCCAATGCTAAGTACATGATATGCACATCTAACGGTTCTCTTTCACATCAAATGGACTGGGCTGATCGGACGGCTCAAAGAACGGGTTAGTGTCTTATACTTGTATCGTGAAAACCTTACATAACGCCTGATGCGGGATTTTTGGTAAAAGACGATTACTTCTCGACCACTAAAAGGTTTGAGGAATTCAAAATTTCAAAGATTTATTGAAGATAGTTTGCTCCATCGTATTAACAATGTATATATATATATATATATATGTTGAATCGTTTAATTTTAAATACATCTGGAGTCAGAACTTTCAAAAAAGTTGATAACAGTGTTTAAATTTTCAAAAGGTCCAACGCCAACGGCCCATGTGCAAAGGCAGGGATATACTGAGGAATACAGTCAGTTCCTGCTGGATAGAACACCACCTGTCCATTTGCTTTCGTCTTCAACATACGAACTTCGAAGAAAAAAATTCGAAGAATACTTTTCATAGGCTCGAGAAAATCAGACTCTTATCCTAGTAGAAGAAAACCAGTAGCGTTTGTAGGCAGCGACCTGTATATTCTGATGGGTCTTGTTTCAATAAATGAAATCTAATACTAAATCTTTCTAATAATATTCTAATCTTTTGCTATTCGCTATATGCTAGCTGACATAATACCGACTATTGCAGAGTGGATTCCGTTGAAAAACAAATTATTGTCAACGGATAACAATACAACAACAGCCGCCCTGTATAAAAGAGCATCGCCGGGTGAATATGGCTCATTCGAGAAAGATGCTCCGCTGAGGAAGATCCAGCTCGATACGCGACGAAGACGCCACCTCGAGAACACAAACAGCTGTGAACCGTTAACTCGAATCATCGGCCCTTATGAAGACGGTATCGTCGAAACGTTAGCCGAATAAAGGATTATTTATCAACCTCGTGTAAGCCTATAAAGGAAGGAATACATATTGATTAGTCATGCCGAGGTTAAAGGAAAGCCAGCTTTGAAATTCTTGTTTTTCTAATATTGAAGTTGTTTCAAATTTTCCTTTAAGGTTTAGTGTTCATTAGAAGTTTAAAGTAACTACTATTTCGGTATGTAATATAATTTAACCAAGGCATCTGGGGTATTATGCTGGTTCTATGTTGAAAAAACATGATCGAACAACGAAGTGAGTGAGATCTCATGGAACCATGAAGATCTGCGCGGCAAGCGGTGTCCACCTAGGAAGATAACCGAAGCGTTTCTTACAAATTGTTCTCGTCGCACTCTTCAGCAGCGACCAGGTACACAACAGGAGTCTATTTTAGTGAAACGTCGTGGTACTTGGCGGTTTTGGATTCCACTAGTTCAATTTTTTCTCATGATGTAAAAATATGTAGGAACTGGAAAACATCTTCTGTCCTCGTTTTCACTTATAAAGAATGTGTTGTTTTTTGATCGGTTCTTTTATAGCTACACCATTCAACCTTTTTTCATCCTTATCACCTCTGTTTGTAAAATTCGCAGAGCACGGCGAATTGAGCAGCGACGATTAGCGACGGCAATGGAAGTCTTGGATAATGCCCTCTTGGTCCTACGCATTGCCTCTACAAGAATGAGTAGAGAAATACATTAGGTACAATTTATCTCTTTTCACGAACGATCATAAAATCTTCCTTTGCAATAATTTCTTTTCAATTTTATATGAATCATCGTCACCGTCTGCTGTACGGATCCCAGCACTTCTCACATTCAGTCCGTTCCCTCGCATCCATTGTCCACTAAGGTCTACCAACTTTACGTGTGGCTTCGGTTGCTGCTTCCGGATTTTCGTTTCTCCTCGAATGTCATAGGATGCTGGTCGAACAGTTTTCCCTTGAATCCTGAGATAGCCGGGCTGGGACGCTCCCAATTGGATTGCAGAGAGTGATTTTTCCCCAGACAGGTCCGATATCAATTTCCCGACACTGGAGGGATGAGAGGCTTGGTTTGTCCGGAGCGGAATCGAACTGGAACCATGCTCGTGACGATGGGCATCACCACCACTGTGCTATCTGCCCCGTTTGCTATCTCTTATTTCGATGGATACAAGGTGATTTCCATTTAAACTTAGTTTTCCAATTTTTACACCTTTTGGAAAACTCTAGTGACATTCTGTGCAGGCAAACATTAATTTGCAAAGCTCGAAGTATTTGGAACATAGGACCAACCTAGATTGCGAAGTCATAGAATCGTTTTCGAACTTTCAGTATTACTAGCGAGATATTGCTACGACTTTCATAATATTTTTGCAGATGGTCGAAAGCTAGGGAAACGCAGTAGTTAGAGATTCCATGCTCTAATACGCACTAGAGTGCTGGTCTAACCTCATCACGAGCAAATCTAGAGAAAGTTGGCACCAGTATTGTCGGTAAGAGCTTTTTCCTATACATAATTGCTGACATGTGCTTCCGGTGTGGACATGTGGATGTTTTAGCAGAGTTGCTCAGGATTCCAGGGAGAAGCTAGTAGAACACCATTTAACGACATTTTTGATGGAGAAGAAATCCTCATCTGGCGGCCTAATCCAACAAATGAAAATATCTTTGCGGGATATGCATGAGAGATTACGGGTCGAATGGAAAACCCGCTGGGATCCACACAATGTGTTTATGTCAGGTCAGGTTTGTAAACAAATAACAAACAATAAATAATAAATAAAAAGTCGCATCAAGCTATAGCGATCACTGGACTCAAACAGATGGAGAATATAATAAACTAATACTGGCCCAGTTTTTCATCTAGTTAGTGAGAAAGATGGTAGAAGATGGTAGTAACAGATGGAAGACAGCGGTGTTCGTTTTTCCGAGTAACTAACAACAACTTTGCATCTATACAAACACAACAAAAAACTGGTTTTTCCCCAAGCGAGATTGGCGAAGGACCAATGAATGCCATTGTGATTTGGATGACGAATATTTTTTCTGACATTTCCCAAAAGATTTCAAGGATTGGCGGTTGCGAACACGATGAGAAGTAGAGTATTGCTTCTAGGACTGTGGGACAGCGAGCATTTATTTCGCCTAGTGAAGTGCAAGTTCTAAACAACTGATAAAATAATTTCTATAAGGATTTGAAATCCGAGAGCAACAGCTATCAATATTGACAAGTATGTTGCTGAATGATATCATCCGTGCTCAACTGATTTAATGCTCTAAATACGAGTTGCAACGGAAAAGAAAAACAAAAAAGTGCCGAAATTTACAAAATCAGAATTCTATCTCTTTAGGATAAAGGGTAAATAAAGGATAAAGTTCTCGGCGTTGATTAATCCCTGAGTGATGTGCCATGCATTCGACTTCACTAAGTATTGTTTGGAGGTGATCGAATGCATGGCCTTTAACAACGACTCGTGGTGGCCTATCGATGTATTGGGCCAATGCCACCATCTTCCCACACAAGTCTGATGCCAATTTGCCAACTCCTGAATGATGGAAGGCTTGGCGTGCATTAGGCGCCCAGGTCGATCCCAGGTGTATTGCAGGGCGCCTTCGACTACTGCGCTAATTGCTCTTTGTAGAATGAGATGAACTGCATTCTCTTGGCAAACATCTGAAAATTCCAACAGTGTGAATTTTCACTAGTAGAATTCAATATAAGCTGTGTTGGTCTAGACTTCCAAGCTGCCTACATCTTCGCACCATATGCATTGATGTCGATCCATGCCTGAGCTTATTTGTTGAATTTGAAAAACTAAATTGGTAGATCAACGTTGAGAGCTTTATCCTTTATTCTTTCGTCCCATAACTTAAACCAGGATGTCGTTTGGGAATGAGTCTCTAGATGTAGTTTAGCAGAGTGATCTCAAAAACTGTTACTTTTTTGGTATCACATGATTCAACATCACATATCTTGTGCATATCACAGCGCTTCCTGCATTCGATGTGCTTCTTCGCACGTGCCGTCCACGAAGGCCTTCGGACTTTTTTCTCGTGTGGTGGCTTCAGCTGCTACTTGTGGAGTTTCTTGTCTTCTTCACGAATCTCGTTAAATGCTGGGCGAATCGAATCCCACCCAAGTCTTTAAATAGCCGTGATAGAGCCTCCTCAAGTAGGCTGAAGGAGCGGTGAGTCCAGACAAGTCTGGTACCAATTCCCCGACTCCGGAGGAATGCGTAGCTTGGTTGACACGAAGCGATGTAACTAGCGATTGGGTAGATTAAGCCACGTTCGCCTAATGAACGGGCTCACTATCAGTGCGCCATCCGCTCCTTTCATCAAAACCAATTAAGTTTTGAATTCGCTTTTTTTTTACACAAATTTGAGACATGCTCTCGTTCGCGTCATTCACTACGTAATAAAGCAGGTTAGTGGGGAAACAATAGGGGAGTTGCTAAAAGCTAAATAGGAGCTAGAAAAACTACATGCTTTAGAGAAAAGTAGTTTATTGGTGGTGAAGAAAGAAGTTTTATTCAAAAGGAACACGCGGCAATGAAGAAAGAAAATCATTGAAAACAAAAAGGTTCTGCAGAATGAGGAGGAAGAACAAATGGTTTACTCAGAAAATGTTTAAACAAAAACGGTGCTCCATGATAGATTATCCGATGGCACCGTAATTTTGAAGAACAATGACGACCTGGTTGTAGAGTTTCTCGTTGACTTCAATGCAAAAGTGGAAGAAACGCAAGAAGGCCAATTATCGAAGCTAATTCGTATCAATGGCCAAACATGTACATCGTTTACTTTGACGGAACAAGCCTTTATGGTTGAACACGATGTTCTTGGAAAAGAGGTAAGACTAAGACTACAGGGCGTCTCACACATGAAGTCTTAGAGAAAAAGAAGCAAAAGAGTAGTTCTAATTATCAAACAGTAGAAAGAAACATCGACGAAGAGCCCGCTGAGCATCGTTGTGCTCTAATGAGCAGTAGAAATATTTGCAGCGAGTTATACTTTCGTCTCTATTACGACGCTCCGAAAACGAGAACAAGGTTTTCATGAGGCTATTTTTTTTACATTTAGTAGAAACTACCACGGTACAAATGTTCGGCTTTAGCTGGGCATTTCAGTGGTTATTCTGAAGAAGAAAAGTACACTGAAGTGTTCGAGTGAATACGAATGGGACTGCGCAGATAGAAAATGATCACGAAAGCTGATAGTGAACAACGGATTTCACTTTACTGCTGGTATGGTTGTTAACCGACTAAAGCTATAGACCAGCTCTTATTTTCGAAGGAGAGTGGGAGAAAGTTAACGTAGATTTTCAGACCGCATTCCCTTTTTTCTTCGTAATACCTAATGAAAAAGAAATATAAGGACACTTAAAGCTATTTGCTCTTTCTCGATAAGGTGTTATTCTATTAACCTGCCCATTTCATGATAGACGTTTGCATGGAAATAATGGTGGAACAATCACTGTGAGCTGCTTTTCACCGTAGTTTGCCCAAGTTTTAAAATCAATTGCCCACAAAAAGTATTTCGTGAATTTGTCAGAGTTCATTTCTGAATCTGGTGAGCTTCTATTTTTCGATTTTTATTTTGTTTTTCTGTAACTCTGTCAAATCGCAGAATAATTTAAATTGGCGAAACTGGACCCCATTGTCCTTATTGTGCACTACGGCACTATAGTCGCAGAACAGCTAGGAACAACACCATATTTATGACACGGTGCCATTTTTGCTTGTGTTCTGGCCAGAAAATAACTACTGGAAGCTCGTCGAACCATGGTGTGGCATGGGTTCACTAACAGCCGGATATTGCTTTGAAAATTTCGAACCTCTTAGCAGACGTTGTTGGGGGATTAATCGCAACTGTATATCGCAATACAGCAAGCAGGAAGAGATGTGATGAAGTACTACATCATTCAAGACTTCACAAATAAAAGCTTATAATACAACTAACAAAAATGTGGACCACTACTTGTCCCACTCTGTCTAGATTCTTGTTCATAACATGGCTGCGTCGCTAGCATTACGTTGCGTGAAGGTTCTCAATAAATACACCATAGAAAGAAATACTAAGTGCAACGCTTTTGTGTCGAGACGACGATGAAAACCCAAAAGTACATGCCCAAAGATAAAAATTTCCGTTCAGGATTGTACTTGTCCCCAGGTGACCTTCCAACTGAATATAAAGGGCAGAAACTTCAAGTGACGATGTGATGAGTAGACGAAGGCGGGCCGTAAGACTCCGAAGTGAACTCGGAGGTGTAAGGTCATCGTGTGCTCAAAAAAACTGGTTTCATCTTCGGGTGCTATGCCCACCAGACAATAGTTCTCGAGAAGAAATTCCACGCTTAGCTTTAATGGGGAACGTGAAGGGCAGGAAGACTGGTGTCCATCTGCGGCGAAAGGGCGTGTTGTTCTCAAATTTAAAGAAATTTGGCAAGCAATTACGAGAAAGAAATCAAGGAGGGAAGTATCGGTTACTCACACAACAACGGGAAATAGAAAATTCTATTAAAAAATTTTTTTTCGAATTGATAATTTGATGAAACCTCCTCACACGTTGTGTTGTGCACTTCGCAGCACGTCGTTGAATCGTGTATTTGATTCGCATTTGTCGCCCAAGAAGGTCCTCGCATCTTCACATTGGTCTTCATGATAGGATGGAAATGCTGGTCGAGTATTCGTATGAAGTATAATGGTGACAGGCGGTGATTGAATGCATCTTTCTCATCTACTGTGATTTCCTAGATCCAACCTATATATCAAGTCAGCACTTTTCATCTTCCCTGAGAGGTCTGTTCTCAACTTGTCGGCGCTGAAGGAATGGAGAGCCTGGTTTGCTTAGGTAATGGCATCAATCCAACGAACACGTGTGCATTGGAGGGCACCTCCCAAAATTCACAGCAGTTATTGAGTCCGCTCTATGGGCTCTCTAGGACATTGTCCTCTTGATAAAAATTAATCAATAAAGCGGACCAATATATATTTTATTTGAAATGTACAATGGTCGTACAACATTTTAAACGAAGGTCAGGCTGTACGCGAAGTTTGTAAACAATAATGAAAGCATCGATAATTCCCAAGAACGACGTCCAAGTACGTCGTTGATCAGCACTTTTGTTTCCTTGACGAATCTTGACTCAGTTGAACACTCCCATAACCGTAGCAGAAAAGAACAAAACCAGAACTTTGATCTCATAGGAATTACCTTCTTTAGGAACATCAATCTCTATGGGTTTTCCATTTAAGGACCGCTTAGATCATAGGAATAAAAAATCCATTTGATCTTTTCAGTTCCTTCGCATGATTTTAACATATACGCGATAACGCCTAATTTTATGTGACAACCGCTAGATCCATGAAAGCACGATAGATCGTTCGCTGTGTGCAACTAAATCATCTTAAAAAAGGTCTCTTGCAAATTATGAAGCGTAGAGAACAGCTCTTCCTACAGAATACGTCGGTGAGAAATCACCTTTGGATAAGGTTTCAACTCGATCGCAAATATGGAAAATCAACTCTTCAAGGTAATGTAAACAGTCGAAGAAAACATGCATTGAAATCCATGAGTATGGTCCATTAGGCCCACCCAAGTGTGCATTTATATCGGTGCATACGCCCTCTAAAATGTCAAGTGTGGAGTCCTGTAGAATTTGACTCAAAACTTGCCATTTAAAGTAACTATAGTTGATGATACCATCAGTATCACTGCTTTAAAAATGAACTCACGGAAGACAGGATTGAGGATTTAGAAACGAAACTACCCTACTTAACAGTACACGCTGCTTCTCCATAGCGCTAGTTTCATTACGAATTTATACGGATACGAAAACACCTTACACATTCTTCACAAATTTCTGAACACTTTAATGGATTTCATCTTAGCTAATGCAATTCGACCGACACGAGAGGCGCCATGGTATATGGCGCTCAACAATGCACGCAGTTTCGGTTCGAAACCGCACCGGACCACTCAGACTTCGCATGGTTCCAGGACTGAGAAATTAATACCTAAGTTGTCCAGGAAAACTTCCGTCGGATTTAAGGTCAGAGAGAACATACTCAACTAGCATTCAATGACATTCGCAAAAACCAGAATCTAAAAGCAACAGTCAATCCACGTATAAATCCGAAGCAACTCGTGAACGATAAATGCGAGGAACGGATCCGAATGCCAAAACCCTGGGAGATGCACTACATTCAATTTCGAAAAATATATAATAAGAATAAAAAACGTTTTGCACACAAACAAGGGCAGATTCTAAGTTTCGCCATGAATAAACAATCTTTCGGTAGGCTGACGCACGAGTTCTTGGTGTCAGTGGCTAGATGACTGTTGAAAATTACAGCCAAAATCTCCGAATATGTTGCCAAAGAATCCCACTAGTGAGTCATTTCCAATTTCCAGAGCAATTCAGTCAGTACATATACTCTGTGGATCAACACTCCAACAAAAAAGGAGACAAACTCAACACATTTCAATTTGCCTTCCTTCATCATCAATTCATGTCCAGGCCGGATCGGACAATATGCATCACTGTCAATATATTTCTTTCCCAACCAATTATTTTACCGCGTAAAGCCTTTTCTTTTGTTACTTTATTTGGAATCAATTGATAGCTGCGACATCGTTATACATGGTCCCTGAAGAGCTACTCTCTACACTTTGCATTTTACAATAAACCGCAGTCTTTAACGATGAGTGCATTAGTCTCCCTTTTCCTTCTAGCATGCACTGTTGTAGTTCTAGAGACTTTCACACACATTCAACCTGTGAAGCAAACAAAATCAGATGATGTCATTTACAGCTGCTACTACAGCTGTTCTGCTGCTCCCTGCTACTTTCCGACAGGACTCACACACATCGTGTGCACGCAGCCACGCTCATGCAAACATACTTGTGTTCTCATGTGCATCCAAGGGGTCACCCCTCCTCCTTCAAAAAAAAAAAAGAAAAAACCAAAACCAGCGAAACCCACTACAGAGCCGTGGTTCGCAACAGGAAGCAACGAAGATTATCCTGGTGTCAACTCAATTCATTCGACGAATCAGTGCAGCAATGGTCATAGGATAAATAAGTGTATATCAACTCGGTTCAAACAGACATTATCTACATTTGAAAAAGTGATACGTTCGAAAAGCATCAAACAACTGATTATGAATAAATAAACGAGAGGACGTATTGGAGAGGATGAAGTTCAGATCGCATGTACGCAAGCAATATGGTATGATCTTCAAAATTTTCTATCGTCTAGCTGCTGCTCGAGGTCACCAACGTGTAGATCAACCTGGAAGAACGACGCTTGGGGATATAAACTTTTGCGTATAAATGGTTCGATACGTTGCTTAAGTTTAATATTTAATAAAAGCTAAAGGAACAGAAAGAATTTTGGGAAACTGATTATAGGTGGTTTCAGTTTTCCGACAATGTTTACGCACACCACGTTCAAGTAAAATATTTTAATCTCAAACAGATATCTGAAAGCATAGAAACTTACGCATAGAGATAATAGAAAAATGAGAGGAGATAAAACGCCAGCTTAGTCCAGCTAGCACGAAGCGAAGCGCTCAACTCATTGCGGTTCAAAATCGTTGTCGGATCGTAGATACCCGGTCCCGACATCACCGGACGACGCATGTACCTGCACTGTTGTAATATTTAAAAAGCTCAAGCCTTAACACACGAATGTTTTGTTCACCTTTGGAAATGGCATTCATTAAGATGATAATTGCTCACATCAACAAAGATGATGATCTGCACTGCTAGTAGGAATCATTAATCCTTTTCGAGAAAGCTGGTTTTGCGTGTTCATAAATCTCCGACAGTGGTAGAAGTAACGTTCATCAGGAGCACGGTGCTGGTTCGACCCTACCCGAAATGGGCTTATCAAATTTTTTATCCGGCCGGGTTCGCTAAATTGCTGTCAGACCTGTCTGAAAACAATTCTCTTTACATCCCAAGTGTGAACGCTCCAGCACAGTTAGCTCAGGTCATCAAGGAGAACCGCCTCACACAGCATTCACCGACACTGATAAACAACAAAATCCTCAAGCAGCAGCCGAACCAACGCGAGAATAGCTCGGGACCTTTGTTGAACACGGAGGCGAAAAAGTGAATCGAGTGCAAGAGGTGCTGTGAGCCGAAAAGCAGACACGAAGACGGGTCGTGTAGAAAATCTCTGATAACTAGAGCACTTCGTAAACACAACAGTGGACATACAGATGAGACTTCAATCTATTACCCTAAAGGTATATATAATTTTATGAAATGTTAATTAAGTTTTAGGTTTCTAGAGAACATTTTGAAAAGAATGAAAATACAACTTCTATAGTACTGAGATATTTGCAAAACTCCAGACCGCAGGTGCCTATGGTGGGGAACGAACGCGCTATTATCCTTTCCGGGGAGTAACGCGTTCACCACCACACCATGCGGGTCCTTCGTTTCGCCTGTCTCTCAGCTATTTCTATCGATCTTTTTGCCACAGCAATCACCCGTCA